CATATGTTCTTAAATGAGATAATATTTCTACAACATAAGGAGAATCACATTTAATTTCATTGGAGAGTATGTCATCCATGTGATTGGGTGCAAATAAATAAGGAAATATATAATTTGTTGGACTCAGAATTGGAGATTTTAAGATGACAGATTAAAATCCTCAATTTAGTCCAGTTGATTGGAAACTAATGCGAGATTGTTAGCCCTCATAGGAGGGAGTTATGGGAGCTCTGGAGTTGTAGCCGGTATCCTCCTAGCCTAACCACGGAATTAGAGACCAAGCTCTGGATTAGTTATTGTTCTTTATAACACTTAGAAGAGGGTAAAGAATAAGCTTGCTCTTATTTGACACAAAATAGTTTATATATATATTTTTTAAATGATTTCAAATTCTTCAGAATCCATATGTTTTCTTAAATTTGAACATTCTGTCACAACAAAAACTTTGTTTAATTTTTGTAATTTCACTTTTGAAAGTTTAGTATTTAGTTTACTTTAATTTTTGTAGTCTTACATCTGCATTTTAGTTAGCATTTACTTGAGTAGTTATTTTCAAACTTCGCAATTTACTTTTACTTTTGTTTTTGTTTTTGTTTTTGTTATAAAATAATTTTCATAATTTACTATAGGATTTTCCAACTTCCATGTGGGATCGATATCCAGAACTCCATTAGAGCCCTTTATTACTTCAGTGATACGTATACTTGTGTTGTTATTAAAGGGGATTTTACAGTTTAAAAAGAATTTTAAAAGATAAATTATTTACATAAAGAGTATTTTTGTTGGGATTATAGTGCATATTTATTATATATCTACCGCGAGTAATTTTATAATTTTGATAAATAATTGAAAAATTCTCACACTGAATATGCTCGCATCAATGATGCATCATGGAAAGGCCTAGGAAGGAGATTATTCAACTTTAGGAAGAAGGTGCACCCTGAGGAATTGAACTTTTAAAATCATTGAAGGAATTTAGTTTAATTTGAAAGGTTGGATTTGATTGATTTTATTTGAAAAGCTTAATTTATAAGAATTGATTTCAAGATTTGATTTTCGATAGTTGATTTGAGCTAAAGATTTATTTTGAAGGATTCAATTTGAAATATTTGATTTTAAAGGTCTTATTTCAATGATTTAAGTGAAAAGCATTGATTTCAAAAACTTGAATTATAAGGTTTTATTTCAAGAATTTGATTTCAATAGATTGATTTGGAATAGATTGATTTGTGTTGAAAATATTTGATTTCAAAAGGTTGAATTAAAATAGTTTGACTAAAATGAACTTTTGAAAATGGAAAAGTTTTCAAGATGAAGTTCACAACTTAAGCCTAAGGAAAATTAAGAGTTATAAAGAGGATAAATACATGAACTAACCTAAATTTTGGGTAATCTTATTTCAATGATTTAAGTGAAAAGCATTGATTTCAAAAACTTGAATTATAAGGTTTTATTTCAAGAATTTGATTTCAATAGATTGATTTGGAATAGATTGATTTGTGTTGAAAATATTTGATTTCAAAAGGTTGAATTAAAATAGTTTGACTAAAACGAACTTTTGAAAATGGAAAAGATTTCAAGATGAAGTTCACAACTTAACCCTAAGGAAAATTAAGAGTTATAAAGAGCATAAATACATGAACTAACCTAAATTTTGGGTATAATATTCCTGACAAAAAGCCCACAGCTTTCTATTATCTCAAGTTCATTAGTTACCTTAGATTATTAACTGATCAAACAGTGAGAGATCTCCATTATTCTCATAGCAATGGCAAATGTTGATTGTCTTAACTATTAGATGGTTATATGTGCCTTCATCAGAAACCACGAGTTACTTTATCCTAGGACCTTCAAAGTTTAAGGTATTTACAGGTCTGTTGTTTTATATGTAGTAGCCCTTAACAATAACTAGGTGTGTCTAGTAATATAGCTCAATCATTTATCTTCTTGGGTTCATAGGTTGCCTTAGACTATTAAACAACCAGACATTATGATATCATCAATGTTACCATAGTTATGACAAATGCAAATTATCTCAACTATTAGATGGTTAGAGGTGCCTTCATTAGTAATCATGGGTTACTTCATCAAAGGGCACTTATATAGTGTAAAGGGAGTTGCCAACTTTTTGTTTTATATATCCCAATACTTTACACTAATTAGGAGTACCTATTAATGAAATCTAGGCTTTTATACTAGAGTATTGTAAGGACATGTGTGGTCTTAAGGTTTTTTTTAAAGTTGGCTAGCCTAAGATCAATAGTTCATTCACCTAAGTGTGATTTTCATTATTTAAGTTGGTGTATTTTAAATTTTGTTTAGTGGTTTTGATATTTTAATTTCAATTTTAGTCCATTCTCCTAGCTAGTCGGTCAACATGAGAATCAACATATTATAAAGTTTATGTTTTTTGTTATGTTTTTTGGTCTAAATTTGATTTTCTTCCATTTGGTCTACTATCTTATGTTTTATGTTTACATGTAATATCAAAAAGAAAAGGGTTTCATATGTATGTGATCTTATTGGATATACTTTTATATTAAACACTTACTTTTATTCACATGAAAAAACATTTAAAATTTTATTTAATCATTCAAATAAGAGCTAAGCATACGAGAGAATAAATATACACACACACACACACA